ATAAAGATCCCTTACTTTGCATATAGTCTTACCAACTGAACAGGGATTTTTGGACCTCCACAGACCAATATGGCCTTGAAAAAAGCTACTTGTACAAAAAAAGTTGTACAAAAATGTTGACAAACCCTCACATGATTGCCTGCCCCACGTGAATAAAAAAATTGAAAATAAAAAGCGGGCCCCTCCACATGTGAGAGTTTGTCAACTTTTTTGTACAACTTTTTTTGTACAAGTAGCAAGGTTGTATGGCCTTTGCTCCAGCCACAGCTATCATATCTGCCCCGGTTACTGGAGAGTTACCAGCAGCAAAAGAGTCAGATGGCTATACAATGAACGCACAGAAGCTAAGAATCAAATTGGAAAATAAGCCATTAGTAACAGAGACATGAAAAATTACCAATATCCTAATTGAAAAAGATAGCCTAAAATCGGACTGACTAGTTGAAAAAGATGGTCTAAAATACCCTCTTTTATGGGACTGTTTTATCACCATTTTTTTAATTTGGACTTATTCTGGTATTTGAATAGCCTATGAGGTTCGACGAATTAATCAGTGGTTTTTATAAATTGGGAAAATTTGAATTCTGGCTCAACTTATTAATTCTTGATGTTTTTATTAGTTTTCTACTAAAAGATTTGAGGGCTTACGACAACTTGTTGCCGTATAGTTTTTGGCTAATCATTTTCATCGTCACAATCTTTGCAAAAAGGTTAAACAGCAATTCACTGCAAAAACTTAACAACTACGTGCATTTGATGCCTTTTGTAACGTGCATTGCACGTTGTCGTATCTTTCTACTTGATGACAACGTTGGAGCCTGCAACATACATGTGAAAGTTGTGAGAGATCCACGACAACATTTTTTGTCTGTAACAAAAAAACAGTTTTTCTTGCAACAATTTTTTCTTCCATCTATAGAATTTTTGTTTGAAATAAAAGTTTGTCGCCATAAGTTTTTGACCAAAAATATTTTAATGCCTTGCTTCCCTCATTTTTTTTGGCGATAATCTTTATTATTTGTAGTGTCTTCTCACACTTTATGACAACTTTTAATGTCGCTTTATATTTTTTGGTACTTATTTTTTTCACATCAATCTTTGCAACAAACTTAAAAAACGTGTCACGCTAAATTACTTATTATGATAACTTTTCATATATCACAAAAATGTGATAAATAATTTGTCGCAAAATCACATTTTTGTTGTAGTATATTCAAAATCTGTTTGATGAATTCTAGTTAAAACTTTATTTGGAAGCTCAATTGTTGAAGAGATCAAGTTATGGATTGGGTAGAAAAAGCCGTCGCACTTTCACTAGCTAGCTTTGAGAGGCGTCCTCAAATAATCAACACAACATTGGAGCTCGAACGGCGGAGCTAGGGGTGTAAGCGCTCCGATTTTACCGATTTTTGATAGCTTTTCAAACCAAACCGTTTAAATAGATTTGAAGGAAACTCAAACCTAAATCAAACCATTTTGAACGGTTTGAAAAAAATTCAAACCTAAACCTAACGGTTTGATCCGATTTTAAACCGCCGATTTCGTCGTATATTTTTTTGCTTGTCTACTTTTATATCATTAATTCATTGAATTCAATATATATTTATATATTACTAGCAATAAATCTAAAACAACTAAATATATCTATTATAAATTTAAATACCAACTAAATTCAAGTTCAATCATAATAATAGTTTTTTGTTCACCCTTTTTAGGCTAAGACGTTACGATAATGTTACAATACAAGTCTAGTAAACTAAATATAAGGCCCAAAACACGTATAAACTAAATATTTATTTGAAAGTATATAGTTCCATAATACCGTTACTGAGACATCAATAAGACAACACCTTAAACGATAAACTTTATGCCTACTAGATCAAAATCCAAGACTTTAATATGCTAACTGAATAGATATCATCCTTATTAATTTAAAACACTTAAAGAAACAATTTAAGAAAAATATCTAAGCATACAATAAAACACAACAATTAAATTGATACAAGTATAGTTGTCACTGGAGATATTGTTGGTTTCTTTTAACTTATTAAATAGATCATCCACATATCAAATTGCACATGAACACTTTTTAGCTTCTATTGACATATTTTATCGTGCCTAATTCAATCACAAAATAAGAGTATGTCTACACAAATAGAATAAAATCATGTACATAGTAGATGAACCATTTCCATCAAAGTGAATAAATGTATTTCACAATCAATA